AGAGAAGGTCTGGGAGGAGGTGTGGAGACAGCCAGTGTAGACAGAGAAGGTCTGGGAGGAGGTGTGGAGACAGCCAGTGTAGACAGCTTCTTAAAGAGAAGAGTCCTAGACTGCAGTGGCCTCCCACGGGTCTCCGCAGAGGTTGAAGAGAAGGAGGATCGCGGCTGAAGGTGGAAGTGGGTCGGGAGAGGTCGGGACAGGGTGCTTGGCTTACTCTGTTCCTCAGGTGGGAGCACTGGTCAAGGGTGTGTGCTGGTGGGAAGGAGCCACTGGGGAATCTGACAATTAGGATAATGCCCAGTGCGTTGACCGTGTCCACTGCTGTCCTCCTAACAGTTGGAACCCGCAAAGGCACGTCTCTCAGAAACTGCTTCTCTGTGCTCCCAACCTTACGACTTCCCCCAGGTTTGTGGTTACCCAGTTCCTGGTAGGAGTAAGGGGAAGAAATGATAACTGATATCTTAGTGTCCATAATAATCAGACTTTCCCAGTGAAAGTGCTTTTTATAAGTAGAAATGAAACATAAATTAGCTACACTTCTGTTTTAACAATATAAAAATCCACTATTGATCTGAAATTGAAAGGAAACTCATCTCCAGGCTGAGTTTTCCCCCACCTCCTTCAGCTTCTATGGAGGAGCATCTGGTTTAACTCTGGGTATTTATTTGAAGGTCTCCTCAGAGTCCCGCGTCAGGGGATGAGGGCACTGGCTTTGAGATAATTTAATAAACCCAGCTTCCTGCAGAGCAGCCCCTGCCACCGACTGGAGTCCCCGCTGCCTGTTCCCTATCAGGCCTGTGGTTTCCTGCCCGGCTGCAGCTTCACTTCATGATCAAGCGCCCTCGACCCTCCTTCCTGTGGCTTCAGCCCCTGCTGGAGCCCGGTGCTGAAGGCTGCTGGCAGGCCCTGCCCTTCCCCCGCCCTGGGCCCGCCTCCCCTCTGCCTGCCACTGTGGAGGTAGCTGAAGCCCCCTGGTTGTCCCCGGAGGCTCTCCAGCTCCCTCCCGCGCCAGGGGCCTGCGCTGGGCCGGAGCCGGTTTCAGGTCTTCAGGGTGTGTGTCATCCACCCTCCTGCATTTGATTTTCTTGTTAATAGTTAAGCATCTTGGAGAGAATAAAGAATAGCTTTAGACTGTTGTTGCCCCCAAGGGTCATTTGGTATTTGATGGGGAAAATTCTTTCTCTCGGTTTCTGTTACAGTATCTACCCACGCACGCACACAGGTTCCCACGTGCTGGGTGCTGGAGCACAGCAAGTCTAGCCTAAAATTGATGCTGGCTTTCACTAAGCTCCTCCTCTGTGTGCCAGCTCTGGTGAGCATTCGGCACAGAGTGTCTTGTTCTCTGGCTACTCCTGACCAAGGGAAGGACCAGCAAAGGTGAAGACGCCTGCCAAGCTGGGCAGCTGATAATGAGTGGTTAGGAACGCAAACCCAAGCACGGGGAATCCAGCACCCACACACGGGGCCACTCGGGCAGGAGAGTCATCTTGCAGGAAAACGCATAAGGCCAGTGCTCCCCCATGGTGCCACCAAGGCTCCAGAGGAGGTCTTGTGGGAAGAGAGCTACCGGACAGGGCACAACAGCTCCTCCAAGTGTCGGGGTTTATCTTAAAGACTGACGAGCATTGTGCATTCTGCTCTCATGTTATGGATACAATGTGTCCACATCGCTTTAATGCAAAATGGATATTTATTAATGGCACAAAAGACAAGTATTTATGAAACAGATGACACACAGTGTAACAATGTCAATTTTCTCCACATTAATCTAGTATTCAAATTCCAGTAGGAATCTCCCAAGAATTTTGGGAAGAAATTTTCTGAACTAATTTTTAAATGTGTTTGTCTCAAAGATATTCACTGATAGCTCATGCAATTTCAGAAAATGAAAATAGGGAAAATTTGCCCTATTAAATATTAAAACAAATGACAAAGCCATAGTAATAAAAATGCCACTGTCCTGATTTAGGAAAGAACAAGAGAGCAACAGAAAGCACAGAATCACAGTTAGAAAAAGGACATGGAGGGAGGGAGGATGGACGGACGGAAGGAGAATGTCTTTGTGACTGGAGTGGGGAAAGGGACTATAACATATAAATGGCTCATTTGAAAACTCTGAGGGGCAGCAGTGTTGAGCTCTGGCCTGGTGTTCAGCAGGCCCTGGCTCAGTCTCCAGCTCCACCAGAGAGAAAGTCTGACCTGATTAACTAGAGCTTTCCAGAGCTACAGAGAAACCACGCTCTGCCCCTCTCTCACTGCCCTGTTCCTTCCACCCAGTGTTTTCCAGAAAGTGGCTTTTCACTTTCCAGAAACTTCTTGTCTACTCTTCTGATTGTTGTTCTTTAGGAGGATACTCAGGAAGTTCTGCTCCACCAGGCAGGTCAGAGCCATGTGTGCGCTGCAGGCCCAGCCCCTGAATCGCGTCTGGCACAGCAGGCGGGCATTGACTTGGGGGTTCTGAAAATCCTCCAGAGTCTCTTCAGGGCCCTGGGTCTCGTAGGTCCTGCTGTGTTCTACAGCCCCTTACTGTCCTTCTAGCTCTGCTGAACCTGCAACGGTAGCCCCAAAGGCGTCCACGAGACTGCTGTGAAGGGGAACATCACGATTTCCACCAGCCAGAAGCCCTGATTGAATTCCAGGGGGGTTATGTTGACTGTGTCTCTTGAAGGTCCTTAGGATAGAATCAAATCCAAAGAGTTGAAAACGTGAGGAAGCAGATTTCCCCTTATTTGGCACACACCCGTAATCCTAGCGACTCAGGAGGCTAAGGCAGGAGGATGGCAAGTTCCAGAAGGGCAGCCTCGACAACTTAGAGAGACCCCAACTCAGGATGAAAATTGAGAAGGACCAAGGATGCAGCCCAACCGTAAGCACCCCGGGTTCAATTCCATGACTGATGGCCGACTTGAGCTGCGGGAAGCCTGTCTTCCAGGACAGTCTGGGAGTGTGCAGGACCAGGAGCTGGGGGAGAGGAAGGTGGGCGCAGGGCCTCCCGGCTCCCTCCAGCCCTGTGCGCGCCCTTCTTTCATCCTGCCAGGAACCGCCATGGCGGTGGCGGGAGACCGCGGTGGGCATGAACGCTGTCACCCGTCAATGTCTCCAAGTTTGAGGCACAACCCCAGAACTGCGAGGCAGCAGGTAAGTCAGCCCTACCAGGTGTAGAACCCAAGGACGTGGAATCAGGGAAGTGGCCTGACTCCGTGTGCCCCCTGCCCACTCTTGCAGGAGGAGAGCCCAGGCGACCCATGCACACACCCGTAACCAAGCGCACGGCCCAGTGGCCACAGAGGCTTGACCACGCACGACTGCACACGGCCAGTCTTGCTCTGGCTTGGCTCTGTGAGAGGGGCTCTGCCCCCGGCTTTTTCCCCCCATAGGGTGCTGAGAGCCATTGCCAAGTAGGAATGATGCATCGAAATTTCCTTGCCAGCGTACCCCATGTTGCTTAGAGGAAGGACTCGTGGAAATGGACTTGACATTGCATGTATGCTTGAGAAAGGTGACCCTGCTCAAGGACCAGGGTGGATCCAGGTTTAAGGAGGATCCTACTGGATTAGGGCGGATCCAGGTTTAGGGTGTATCCTGCAGGTTTTAGGGAGTATCCCGCTCCTTGGGGTTTAGGGCGGTCCCGGTTTAGGACAATCTGGGTTTAGGGAGGTTCCAGGTTTAAGGTTATTCCTGCTGGGAATAAGGCGTATCCTGCTGCCTGAGTTCCCGTTGAGTTCTCCTGGGATTCAGAAAGTATTTGGGATTCAAAGCCTGGTGGAGTACGTGAATTTGGTGGCAGAACTTGGATTTCCCCAGAACGTGTTTGTAGAGTGCAGGTGTGAGCTCGGGAATAAAGAATTGCTGTTTGAATCTACAAGGTGTGTGGTGGCTCGTGATTCTGTGCCCAGCCAGACTGCGGCAATAGGGACCCATGAGAGTGGCCTTAGATTTAGGGGGAAGTACTGAGTGTGGGCATAACAAGCTCAGGAGTTCCTACAGTCCTGCCGCTGTGCCAACTACACCTAGAGACGGCTGGAAGCTGGGTCCACTCACCTCCTCTCCCACCAGCTGGAGACCCTGACCCCATCCTTCCAGCCCCTACTCGCCCTACCTGCCTTCTCATCCGGTACCCAGTGTTCACTGAGGAGCCCCGAGAGGGCCTGAGCACCTCAGCACACAGCCCGCCCATCTCCCCTCCCTGCCCCACCACCCTGCCCAGTCCCCTGGGGGGACACACAGAGCCCTGTTTCAAGGGCATCCACACCCCTTACTCCTCCCAGGAGCCTTGACAGGGAAGACAGAGGAGGTCATGACCAGGGTGGCAGGGGGCCAGGAGGTGCTGCTATCCAGGGGGGACAACCCCAGAGGAGTGGTCATCCAGGCCCAGGAGCTCTGCAACAAGGACAGCCACCGGGGTTCTCAGAAAGTCTCAAGAGATGGGAACCCGAGGCTGGGTTCAGGAAGAGCCCTCCCCTGGGCATGCGTCACCTTCCCGCTGAGCACCCCCTGAGACCAATGGCTGGCCGCCAGGGACATGGCACTCACCAGCACAGAGCTCTGCCCAGATGTTCAGCTGCCCCACCTGCCTGGGGCTGGAGTAAAGCTGCTATCAAAGTGAAAGTGGCCCTCGTCGCGCTCTCTGCTGCTGGGTGCCACATGAAAGTGCAAGTCAGCACCCACAGTGCCACACCTGACAGAGTGCCACACCCAGACAGAGAAACGGGGTAGAGCAGTCGGCTGGGTAGAGCAGCCTCAGCCTCCTGGGGTTGTCCATCTTCAGAGGAAACACACCCTCTCAGGTATGAGAGTCCCTTCTCAGCCGGCCCTCAGCTCCTCCAGACATCCTGTTCCTTGTACCCTTTTATATACACTTCCCCAGCCGTCTGCATGCCTGGCGCAAGACGTCCTTGATCACACAAGGACGGAACCCACCATCGCAGCTGACAGGATGTGATGGGCACAGAGGAAATGTGGTGAACTGGAGGGGACCGGGGAGGTGGCCTGCAGCGGGTGCTCAGCCCACACGGGCCGAGCCTCGGCCTCCTCTCCCACCCTTGAGGACCCTGGAAGGCTCCGGATGTTCCTGAAGGCCTCCCTGCAGCTTGGGCAGAGCGCAGAGGCCTGGTGCTCAGCCTGGGGGAGGCCACTGGTCCGACTCCCCACCACGCTGGTTGTGGACCTTGTCCACTCACACAGGAGGAAGGGCCCTGGGGATCTGGTCGTGGCTAATGCCCACTTGCTGGCTCACACCTTCAGCTGAGGAAAAGTAAACATGGTAATTGTGTCCCTCTTAATATATATTTTCTTTTCAAAGAAAATATTTGCAATTTGGTAAAGAGTACAGAGAATAAATACTCATATCCACGGGCTCCCTACTCAGAGCAAAGGTTCCTGCAGGAGCCAGGGAGCAGGGAGGGACAACAGCCTGGGGCCCGCATCTGATGGCCTTGAGGCCCTCCCACAGGGCACCAACTTCTCCATGCCACCTCCACATACTGCCTCCAGGTACAGCCATGATGCACGCCTTTGGGGACACCATACGCATTCAGCCTCTGCAGGGAGATAGCCTGGAAGGGAAGCAGGGCTGACCTAACTGTGGTGCAGTCACCACCACATCCACCAGTCCCTCCCAACAGCCAGATCACTCTCCTCCTTTGGCCCCATGTCCTCGGGGCCCCCTGTCCCTCTGACACCCAGGTCCAGGTTAAAGCCTCGAACTCCACAGCCTTTGTCATCTCAGAACTCTCTCCATGGCTTCTGCCAATTCCCAGAGACAGTCCCCAGGTGCGCTCCACCCCAGGACTGACAGACACTCAGCTCCTCTGATTTCAGGACAAACTCCGTCCTGTGGAGAACCGGGAGGTCTCTGGGGCATCAGGGAGGAGGGGCCGGTGGCCCGCAGCCTCGGAGGTCACTCCTGCGCCTTCTCTCGGGCACTTCTCCGCCTCAGAGCCCGGGGCTGCACCACTGATCTCGGGGAGAAGTCAAGCCAGCCCAGGTGTCGCCCGTCCACCCAGGCAACCTGTCAAGGCAAAGAGCACTTATCCAGAGGCAATCTTCTTCATCACGTTTGGGGCTGATTTGGAGACCAAGTGGAGGGGTCAGTGGAAGCGTCCTT